CCTGACCATCGGCTGGTCTTAACGATAAATCATGTTTGACACCTCGACATGATTCACTTCAAGCTGCCAGCAGCTCATTCTTCTAAACCTACAAGCTGCTGCTACTGAAAACTGACTATAAAAGCTTTAAGAGTTGAACGTGAATATATCCACTTCGCACACATCCTGCACAGCCTCGCTCTCCACAGGGACATTTCAACGTCCTTCTTCTTTGTTTCCATCAGGTGAGCGTCTGAAGAAAATCACAGAAACTTTGTGTAAAGTTACAGCTGGAACTGTGACTCTAAATGTGGAGTGGGCCTGTTTGATCTGATGCAGGAGGCTCTAACCTGACTGGACTTCACACCAGGTCTCCCTGCTCCTCTGTGTCTTCTGTCTGTGCTGCAGTGTGTGAGTCATTCTCATACTCAGGAACAGAGTCCAACTGATGAAGAGAGAGAAGACACAATTAGACCCTCATTCATGAAACCTGCATATACTTTAAGATTTTATAAAACATTTTTCATATTTTAAAGTTGATGCTAATTATTTCTTGGCTAAATTCATTCCTGGTTTCAACTCAGGAAGTTGTCTTTAAACACAAGTTCTCTTCACATTGCATTTATGAGCCACAGTATAGCTTTGACGAAGGGGAAATGTTGTCAATAGGTCCGCTCTCTCTCACCTCGATGTCTTCAGGTTCAGGTGCTTCAGTGGTGGAGCGCAGAGCTTTCTTCTTCCTGGATTAAGGGCAACAACAAATACAGATTTTATTTCATAACAGTAAACTACAACATGTAAGAAGGATGTTTAAACTGATGAATTTCTATTGTTGTACCTCATCCACAGACTCAGGAGAAACACAGGAATCAGAATCAAGACCCCCAGAGTCGTCCTGATGATATTCACTGTCATTGTTGAACTCCCTAGAAACATGAACACATATGTGATACTTCTAACTGCTGGATTGATAAATCACATTGTCAGTGTGATCCACCTCTGACACCATGGAGGATCCTCCCTGAACACTGACATTTTGAATATGCTTGTGTTCATTCATATTACAAAGTGAATCAGGTCTGGTGAATGTAGAGAACTTACCTGTTCCAACACTCAGATGAAAGGTGGAGTTACTACGTCCTAACTCGTTCTGGGCTCCACAGGAATAACTCCCATTGTGTTCAGCTCTGAAGCCAATGATGTTGAAGATCTGTCCTGAAGCTTTTGGAGAGTCTTCATCCTCCTTGTACCAGGTGTAGTTAGCTGCTGGGTTAGCATCACTGCTACAAGTCAGAGTCACTGGAAGTTTTGGAGAGTCTGAAAGAAATACAATAAATCAACAGAAATGAGTAAAAATACATCATGTTGAATAGAAATGAGAAATAGGGGAGCATCTGGAATTTGGAAGTGTATTTTGAGAGTGTTAGAAAAATATCACTCGTCACCGGCTTGGTCTTCAATATCAGGATACATGTATTTATTATCCTTGCAAGAATGGAAGTATTCATCACACACAGAGCTGCATGTCACAGATAGTTCCCTGAATAGTGTCTTTGACATTCTGATATACAAGAGAGTGTTACAGTCACAAGATGGAGGAATATAAAGCAGTATTCTGGCCTTAGTTCAGATTAGCTAAGACCCACGTAAGCAATAAACATGACAGTCATTGTGTCTATCTCCAGAGAGGCTGAATCATCATGGTAATCGTTGTCACATAGCTATCATATGCCTATAACAGTGTGTCCTGACGCTCTTCTATCATACATCCGGTTACATTCACAGCTACGTAGGGCCTTTGTTATCATGTGCTACTCTGATATTAGAAGAGTACATTCAGTGTTTTCCCAGCAGACGGGTATCGAAATATAAAATAACATGTTGTTGTGTATATATTTAGTTTTCTTTATTATTGCTGGTTTGAATACCCTGAACATACGTGCAGATTTGGGAGCCAATTGTAAACAAAACTTCATTTTCATCATCTACTGTAGCTGCTCTCCATCTCATTGACCTACAGCAGCAGACTGTGAACAAAGTTGTTATTGGGTGCATGATTCTTTTTAAATCATCTGGGTTTAACTCACATTTCACATCAATAGAGATGGATTCAGATCTTATACTCCCCAGCTTATTCTCAGCTCTGCAGTAATACTGTCCAGAGTCAGAGGACTGGATGGAGCTGAGGACGAGACGTGGTCCTTCACTGAGAGGAGGAACATTACGATTTCCATTCTCCTTGTACCAGGTGTAGTTAGCTGCTGGGTTAGCATCACTGCTACAGGTCAGAGTCACTGAACTGCCCTCCTCTATCTCAGCAGAGGGTCTCACTGACACAGAGGGAGGCTTTGGAGCATCTGGAGATTCAGAGAGACCCGTGTCATTCACAATAGTATTTTTTAAATGTTAACATGGCTTTCTCAGATGATGCATTTTGGATTATGGATCAATTTGGATTAATCGATACATTGCTAGGTCATTATTGTCATAAATATCCTTTAAAAAAAACATTTTAATAACAGTAATTTAAGGATTTAGAGATAGCCTTGTAAAGTTAATAACAGTAAATATTAGTTAAATATAACAATATTGAACAGTCGTTTCTCAATTATGTCATCATTAGCAACTCTATAAAATGTGATTAGAAGTTACTGCCAGTTCACTTTTTGTTACCCACTTGTTCCCTGGATCCCATGTAATGTAAAGCAAGCTGAGCTGAAGAAAGTAGTGATGATAAGTAACATCTTCTCTTGAAACAACTAGACAGATATAAGCTTGTTATCTTTAAATAAACTGTCTTACTCACATTTCACATAAATAGAGATGTTTTCAGATGTGCTACTCCCCAGCTTGTTCTCAGCTTTACATAAATACTGTCCAGAGTCAGAGGACTGGATGGATCTGAGGACAAGACGTCGTCCTTCATTGAAATAAGAAAAGTGTGCATTTTGATCCCTCTTGTACCAGGTGTAGTTAGCTGCTGGGTTAGCATCACTGCTACAGGTCAGAGTCACTGAGCTGCCCTCCTTTATCTCAGCAGAGGGTTTTGACAAGAAAGGAATCCTCGGAGCATCTGGAGGAGATGTGTGAACAGTAAATATTCAGAATGTGTTTCTCACTGCATTAGCTCAAAGGTATCTACATTATTGAACGCTGAATAGCTGCATTTCGAGTCATTACAGAGCATTGAATGAGGAACTCATTCCAAAATAACCCTAACTTGAAGGACAGTTGTTGAGCATTTACTAATCACATTTTGTAGAGTACACTGAAAACACTAAAACATTGACTTTAATTAAATGTATTATGTCAATAAATTAAATGTTTTTGCATTAGGTGAGTTGAAAGCAATAATATTTAGTTGAACCTAATATTTTTCATTTAAAATGTATATTATTGCTTTCAACCAACCTGATACAATTATGTGTAATTTGTTGACATAATACATTTAATTAAAGTCAACGTTTCAGTTTTTTCACTGTAGCTAAGGAATATATTTTAGAGAAACAACCGTTAGATATTATGTAAATGAATTTAAATATAATGTAATTAATTGTTCATGGGTATTTCTGAATTGTTATTAGTCATAATAAAGTAATGATTTGTCATTGGTTAAATGCCGTTTAGTGTATCACTTAATCAAGTCACAACGATGAGTTGAGTCATGGAATTTAAGGATTTAGAGATAGCCTTGTAAAGTTAATAACAGTAAATATTAGTTAAATATAACAATATTTAACAGTCGTTTCTCAATGATGTCATCATTAGCAACTCTATCAAATGTGATTAGAAGTTACTGCCAGTTCACTTTTCATTACCCACTTGTTCCCTGGATCCCATGTAATGTAAAGCAAGCTGAGCTGAAGAAAGTAGTGATGATAAGTAACATCTTCTCTTGAAACAACTAGACAGATATAAGCTTGTTATCTTTAAATAAACTGTCTTACTCACATTTCACGTCAATACGGATGGTTTCAGATGTGATACTCCCCAGATCATTTGTAGCTGAACAGAAATACTGTCCAGAGTCAGAGGACTGAATGGATCTGAAGGCAAGCTGTCGTCCTTCACTGAGAGGAGGAACGTTACGATTTCCATTCTTCTTGTACCAGGTGTAGTTAGCTGCTGGGTTAGCATCACTGCTACAGGTCAGAGTCACTGAACGGCCCTCCTTTATCTCACCAGAGCGTGTTGAGAGAGAAGGAATCCTCGGAGCATCTGGAGGAGATGTGTGAACAGTAAATATTCAGAATGTGTTGCTCACTGCATTAGCTCAAAGGTATCTACATTATTGAACGCTGAATAGCTGCATTTCGAGTCATTACAGAGCATTGAATGAGGAACTCATTCCAAAATAACCCTAACTTGAAGGACAGCTGTTGAGTATTTACTAATCACATTTTGTAGAGTACACTGAAAACACTAAAACATTGACTCTAATTAAATGTATTATGTCAATAAATTAATTGTTTTGCATTAGGTTAGTTGAAAGCAATAATATTAAGTTGAACCTAATATTTTTCATATAAAATGTATATTATTGCTTTCAACCAACCTAATACAAATATGTGTCATTTGTTGACATAATACATTTAATTATAGTCAACATTTCAGTTTTTTCACTGTAGCTAAGGAATATATTTTAGAGAAATAACCGTTATATATTATGTAAATGAATTAATATATACTGTAAATAATTGTTCATGGGTATTTCTGAATTGTAGGTCATAATAAAGTAATGATGTCATTGGTTAAATGCCGTTTAGTGTATCACTTAATCAAGTCACAACTATGAATTGAGTCATGGAATTTAAGGATTTAGAGATAGCCTTGTACAGTTAATAACAGTAAATATTAGTTAAATATAACAATATTTAACAGTCGTTTCTCAATGATGTCATCATTAGCAACTCTATAACATGTGATTAGAAGTTACTGCCAGTTCACTTTTCGTTACCCACTTGTTCCCTGGATCAAACTTGGGGCTCCAAGCGACATTGTGAGATGAGCCCCCCCCCCCCCCAACCGACAGGAGGGAAACCATTTTTTTGGGAAACAATGTACTTTGCAAATATAATTCCTGTTTATTAATATTATCAACACAGTTACTTTTTTATACAGTGAGGTAAATGGTAAATGTGCATGTCAGGACGGCCCTGCCTGGATCCCATGTAATGTAAAGCAAGCTGAGCTGAAGAAAGTAGTGATGATAAGTAACATATTTTCTTGAAACAACTTGACAGATATAAGCTTGTTATCTTTCAATAAACTGTCTTACTCACATTTCACGTCAATAAAGGTGTTTGCAGATGTGCTACTCCCCAGATCATTTGTAGCTGAACAGAAATACTGTCCAGAGTCAGAGGACTGGATGGAGCTGAAGACAAGCTGTGGTCCGTCACTGAGAAGAGGAACGTTACGATTTCCATTCTTCTTGTACCAGGTGTATGTAGCTGCTGGGTTAGCATCACTGCTACAGGTCAGAGTCACTGGACTGCCCTCCTTTATCTCACCAGAGGGTCTTGACAAAGATGGAGTCCTCGGAGCATCTGGAGGAGATGTGTGAACAGTAAATATTCAGAATGTGTTTCTCACTGCATTAGCTCAAAGGTATCTACATTATTGAACGCTGAATAGCTGCATTTCGAGTCCTTACAGAGCATTGGATGAGGAACTCATTCCAAAATAACCCTAACTTGAAGGACAGTTGTTGAGCATTTACTAATCACATTTTGTAGAGTACACTGAAAACACTAAAACATTGACTTTAATTAAATGTATTATGTCAATAAATTCAATTGTTTTGCATTAGGTGAGTTGAAAGCAATAATATTAAGATGAACCTAATATTTTTCATTTAAAATGTACATTATTGCTTTCAACCAACCTGATACAATTATGTGTAATTTGTTGACATAATACATTTAATTATAGTCAACGTTTCAGTTTTTTCACTTTAGCTAAGGAATATATTTTAGAGAAACAACCGCTGGATATTATGTAAATGAATTAATATGTACTGTAAATAATTGTTCACAGGTATTTCTGAATTGTTATTGGTCATAATAAAGTAATGATTTGTCATTGGTTAAATGCCGTTTAGTGTATCACTTAATCAAGTCACAACGATGAGTTGAGTCATGGAATTTAAGGATTTAGAGATAGCCTTGTAAAGTTAATAACAGTAAATATTAGTTAAATATAACAATATTTAACAGTCGTTTCTCAATGATGTCATCATTAGCAACTCTATAAAATGTGATTAGAAGTTACTGCCAGTTCACTTTTCGTTACCCACTTGTTCCCTGGATCCCATGTAATGTAAAGCAAGCTGAGCTGAAGAAAGTAGTGATGATAAGTAACATCTTCTCTTGAAACAACTAGACAGATATAAGCTTGTTATCTTTAAATAAACTGTCTTACTCACATTTCACGTCAATACGGATGGTTTCAGATGTGATACTCCCCAGATCATTTGTAGCTGAACAGAAATACTGTCCAGAGTCAGAGGACTGGATGTAGCTGAAGAAAAGCTGTCGTCCTTCACTGAGAGGAGGAACGTTACGATTTCCATTCTTCTTGTACCAGGTGTATGTAGCTGCTGGGTTAGCATCACTGCTACAGGTCAGAGTCACTGGACTGCCCTCCTTTATCTCACCAGAGGGTCTTGACAAAGATGGAGTCCTCGGAGCATCTGGAGGAGATGTGTGAACAGTAAATATTCAGAATGTGTTTCTCACTGCATTAGCTCAAAGGTATCTACATTATTGAACGCTGAATAGCTGCATTTCGAGTCCTTACAGAGCATTGGATGAGGAACTCATTCCAAAATAACCCTAACTTGAAGGACAGTTGTTGAGCATTTACTAATCACATTTTGTAGAGTACACTGAAAACACTAAAACATTGACTTTCATTAAATGTATTATGTCAATAAATTCAATTTTTTGCATTAGGTGAGTTGAAAGCAATAATATTAAGATGAACCTAATATTTTTCATTTAAAATGTACATTATTGCTTTCAACCAACCTGATACAATTATGTGTAATTTGTTGACATAATACATTTAATTATAGTCAACGTTTCAGTTTTTTCACTTTAGCTAAGGAATATATTTTAGAGAAACAACCGTTAGATATTATGTAAATGAATTAATATGTACTGTAAATAATTGTTCATGGGTATTTCTGAATTGTTATTGGTCATAATAAAGTAATGATGTCATTGGTTAAATGCCGTTTAGTGTATCACTTAATCAAGTCACAACTATGAATTGAGTCATGGAATTTAAGGATTTAGAGATAGCCTTGTAAAGTTAATAACAGTAAATATTAGTTAAATATAACAATATTTAACAGTCGTTTCTCAATGATGTCATCATTAGCAACTCTATAAAATGTGATTAGAAGTTACTGCCAGTTCACTTTTCGTTACCCACTTGTTCCCTGGATCAAACTTGGGGCTCCAAGCGACATTGTGAGATGAGCCCCCCCCCCCCCAACCGACAGGAGGGAAACCATTTTTTTGGGAAACAATGTACTTTGCAAATATAATTCCTGTTTATTAATATTATCAACACAGTTACTTTTTTATACAGTGAGGTAAATGGTAAATGTGCATGTCAGGCCGGCCCTGCCTGGATCCCATGTAATGTAAAGCAAGCTGAGCTGAAGAAAGTAGTGATGATAAGTAACATATTTTCTTGAAACAACTTGACAGATATAAGCTTGTTATCTTTCAATAAACTGTCTTACTCACATTTCACGTCAATAAAGGTGTTTGCAGATGTGCTACTCCCCAGATCATTTGTAGCTGAACAGAAATACTGTCCAGAGTCAGAGGACTGGATGGAGCTGAAGACAAGCTGTGGTCCGTCACTGAGAAGAGGAACGTTACGATTTCCATTCTTCTTGTACCAGGTGTATGTAGCTGCTGGGTTAGCATCACTGCTACAGGTCAGAGTCACTGAACTGCCCTCCTTTATCTCACCAGAGGGTCTTGACAAAGATGGAGTCCTCGGAGCATCTGGAGGAGATGTGTGAACAGTAAATATTCAGAATGTGTTTCTCACTGCATTAGCTCAAAGGTATCTACATTATTGAACACTGAATAGCTGCATTTCGAGTCATTACAGAGCATTGGATGAGGAACTAATTCCAAAATAACCCTAGCAGCTGCCGACTGAGGTTTTTAGTGAGAATCCAGTTTTTTCATCTTGTTCCTGTAACTTGGAATAACATGAAGAACAATATAAAGCTAACCTTATTTATGATAGATATTTTGTGATGTTTCTTGCTGCCTACCGGATTTTCTGTTATTGTTGATATTTTGTATTTTTACCTCTGATATGTTGTAAATGATGTCTCTACCAAAATCTATTTCATCTGTATGTTGTTGACCTAGAAAGCTTTTTGTTTCTATAAATAATACTGCTGCGTCTGCATTAAGAATCAGAAGACTATTGTAAGGTTTCTATCTGAAATTGTCCATGTATTGAAATGTCAGTGTTTGTGTATGAGTGAACTCACACACTATAGGAGAAGAGAAGGCTTCATGACCTTCCAGAGCACAAGAGATAGTGTCTGTGAGTTGAATCCGGCCTTTATAGGAAGATATCGATGTTGTCGTGAATTTCTCTCCGTTCTTGAACCAGACGTAGGAAACACCAGCTGGACTGCAGCTGCTGTGACACTTCAGCTCTGCATAGGTATTAGACTGCTGGTAAGTTGCTGTGATCACCTGCACCTGCAGAGCTGGATATGAGGAAAATAAACAACATTATATCACTCGGTCTAAAATGAAACTGATGATAAATATATATACCCATTAACACAACATTCTAAAGTAGGTGAACAAATATGATAACTCATCCAACAGTAATTACAAAAACTCAACTTCCAGTATGTTTTCATTGTATTGTGTTGGTGTATACAGAATACATCAGTGAGTGTTGATCAGTACCTGTGACAGTCAGAGTTGTACCAGGTAAATCACTCCTCCATTCAAAGCTTGGTGTTTTGAATTTGAAGAGATACTGAGCTGAATCTGAGTCTCTCAGGTCAGAGATCCTCAGAGTGGAGCGTCCTCTCTCTGTGTCAGTGATCTGAACACGACCTGCATCCTGGGAGTTTTTACTAAGGTCCTCAGGATGAGAGGGATTCTGTCCCTGATGACTACGCTCAGGACTGAACCAGAATTTAGATGTAATACATTCATTACTGCTGTACGTGCAGGAAATGTCCACTGATGATCCTTTGGGGGCACAGATACTTCCTTCAGTATAAGTCAGTGTGTTGCTGTCTCGACCAGTGACACCTGAAAAATAAACATAAATGGTAAGTCACATTCCCATACAGTTAGCTAAGGCTTCCACTAGATGGTGTTATGTTAGAATAAGGTAGTGAAGTGAACTCACACACTGAAGGGGAGAGAGAGTCCTCATATCCTTTCAAAGCACAGGAATAGCTGTCGAGATAATTAAAGTCGACCTGAAGAGAAGATGTTCCTGACAGAGCGTTTCCTCCGTTCTTGTACCAGACGTAATCATTATCAGGTAAATCACAACTGCTCTGACACTTCAGGTTTGCACTGTTGGAATATTTGCGTTCCACCTGCACCGAGAGATCTGTATTTGTGAAGAAGGAACAGGAAGGTTATTTAAGAATAAACTCTCAACATTCATGTATTTAAAAACACATCACAATTATATTATTGTTTCTTAATGTTGAACATTTGGAACTGATTGGTGTTACCTTTGACAGACAAAGTGACTCCAGGTGAACCACTATATTTTCCTCCTGCTCGGTTTGTTTCAAACCTGAACCAGTACTCAGCTGAGTCGCTCTCTCTCAGGTTTCTGATTCTCAGAGTGCAGATGTTCTTTTCACAGAGATTCTCTACATGACCTGAATACTCTGAGACTGTGGTCAGATCTACAGATTCACCATCTTTCTGTTTAGACCAGAATGTTTTTTCTACTGTGGTAACACTTCCATTCGATGGAGATGGGTATGTGAAGCTGCATCTTATCTCCACTGTTGATCCTGTCACTGCACAGATCTCAGTAGAAGTGTAAGCCACTCCCCACTCATCCTGACCCTGAACCACTGAAACACAGAGCACATCAGAAACTAGAATCAAAGTTAATCTATAAATTGTTAAACAATACTGTCAACAAACAATTTGAAAATAAACATTTTACAAACTTTACTGGGATAAAGCAGAAAAACATGTGAATTCTTTCTAAGGAACTTTTAAACTGGTACCAGTGATACTTTCTTATTTCTTAATTAAAGGGGACCTATCATGCAAAATGCACTTTTGTACGTCTTTTATACATGAATATGTGTCCCCGGTGTGTCAGGGAACTCACCAAGTGTCAGAAAACACAACCCTCTCTATTTTCCTCCATACCCAAATCTCTAAAAACGGGGCTGCAACGGATCTGATAAAAACTGATCCAGATTTGAACATTTCTCTGACGTCAGGACTGAGGAGCTCCGCCTATATGGCCAACTCTCCACCTATCAGGGGAATGAGAGGTTGCCGTGGCATGGTAACAGCATGGTAACAGCATGGTAACACGACGCTCGTAACTCGGCCCCCTCCTTTGCAGGGGGGCGTGGTCAGCTGCAGCGCATGCAAAGACAGGGTGGAGGAGAGCAAAATAGAGCGAAATGAGGCATGGCTAAAATGCATGATCTGTTTGGTATTTTGAAAAAGAAAACGTATAAATATACCTTATATAGGTATGGCCCTACAATATATTATTCAAATATAGCAAGATAGGTCCACTTTAAACCAGGTATAACAGAAGTCCACACAAAAAGTCTATGCTCAGTTTTACAGTCAGGGCAAAGGAAGAATGGAAAATGCCTTCATATAAATGAACAGTGAATGATTAGCGATCATATTAATTAGAATAGTGTGAGATTCTCTGAACAGTTCCCTCTCTGTTCGCTCTGTGGTCAGGTTGCTGCTGAGGTAAGTGTGAACAATAACAATAAATGCAGAACACTGAGGTGTGAGCAGCTTCTGTCTGATATACAGATAAGAAAAAGAAGAAGACTGCTTTTAACTCAGAGCGTGTGAATATAACACTGAGGTCAGAGAGTAGAGAAGGAACTAGAAGGGTTTGGTGCAGAGGTATGATCGATAAGAGTTGAGTCAATATGTTATGACTTAGAATAAGAATATCTCTCTAAATCACTTAAACTTAATAAAAACAGAGCTGGAGATTCTTTAAGTCGTCTTAAGAAAAAAAACAAAGCAAAATGTTTTCACAGAGAGAGGATGGAACAGTTATGCATACACTATATTCTCATTTGAACGCTTGTAAAAGTGCAAACTGATATTTGATGCAGATGATTGGAGCAAAGGACAGTGGCAACGCACGACAAGATCTTCAGAATATCCATCAAAAAAACTAGTAACGTCTTTGAGTTTCTACAATTCTACACACAAATACATTTAAAATGTTTCTGCTTTGCCTTTTACTCAAATCCATCCCACTTATTCCCACATGTGACCTGATTTTACAAGTCCCACATTTTCCCAGAATCCCCTCTGTTCATGTGATGAATGTAAGTGTAGATGTACAGTACCTGACACAGAGAGCAGGAAGACAACTAATCCACTCGCTGCTGCAGTTAGACTCATAGCTGCTCCTCTCATCTCTGTGAGACTATAAAACATGTCAGATTAAATAATGTTCACAGGAGGTATACAGAATCATTACATCAAGAAACTGTTTCTACTCACAGTGAAGGAGGAACCATGTGTTGAAAGATGCCTTTCCTCTGTCACCAATGAGCAGAATACGGAAATCAGGCTGTTAAGAGACAAGATTTACTTCCTCTTTAGACGATTAATATGCATGATGAGCCAAACCCTGTAACACCCACTGCACACAAAAGTTGTATTGTTTTAAAAAAGTATACACGTTAAAAGACACTTCGGTTAAACATTTGTTTCACTGCCAATATAACACTGACACCAGAAAAGAGCATTTAAATTAAGAAGAGAATAACAGTTGATCTCTATGAGCACTGAGGACGTCACACAGTCTGCAGGTGTAGTGAAGGAACAGGAATGCATTAACCTGTGAACCCACGAGGCAGTTTAACTGAACAGGATGAAGAGAACCAAATTAATTATAAGAGAGGATGGAAAATGCCATGTCATTGTTTTTGGTTTGTTTCTTCTCTCTTATCTCTGCGGTCAGGTTGCTTAATGTTTTTGAGAAATGCAGAACTTCGAGACGTGGGAAACTTACATGCCTGCCAACATGAACCACTCACACATGGACTGGTAGGACAGACAATGTTTGATGTTTGATAGATGTTGATTAGAAAACAATGCTTTAAATTACTTTGACTTGTTTAAGTGGATCAGTTAGAAAAGCAGTGTGCAGAGAGGTCTTACTTTAAGTTAACCGCACTGCATGGAAAAGACTTCATATGAACCATCAGCATGGCTAGATGCCACTGGAGGTGAGATAGGAAATACATATTATTATAGTTTTGGTGAAATGCCCCCAAAGAGACTTCCACTAGAAAGTGGAGGGAGCTCTCAGAGTGATGAAGCCTGCATGTGCAACAGTTAAGATCCCCCACTAGAGGACAGTGACACATCACAGATACTGAACAGGACCCTGAAACACATTTTAACATCCAACACTGATAGATACTTTAACATTTGATAAATAAACAATTTTCCTGAAAAAAGCATTAGAAAGGATTTAAAATGATAAGGGTAAAACAGTTGATCTCTATGAGCACTGAGGACGTCACACAGTCTGCAGGTGTAGTGAAGGAACAGGAATGCATTAACCTGTGAACCCACGAGGCAGTTTAACTGAACAGGATGAAGAGAACCAAATTAATTATAAGAGAGAATGGAAAATGCCATATCATTTCTCTTGGTTTGTTTCTTCTCTGCTCTCTCTGCGGTCAGGTTGCTTCTGTTTCAGAGAAATGCAGAACTCTGAGACGTGAGAAACTCCCATGCCTGTTAGTGTGAACCCAACATGAACACACACATCACACTCATAATCAAGTGGACTGGTAGGATTTGGACACACAGAGTTTAATGATACGAAAAACACATGTTCAATGACTTTGGATGTTTAGGTGGATCAGTTGAATTAACTGTAAACATATGTCCAATGTTTACATTTATTAAAGCACTTTAACATTTGAAAAACAACCTCACAGCATGCAGCAAACTTCATTATGAATGATTTGCATGTTTAGGAGGTAAGAGAGGACATCAGTACTTTAGTAGTTTGGGTGAACTGACCCTTTAAAGCAGACAGTGGAGGGAGCTCTCTGAGTGATGAAGCCTGAATGTGTCTCACTTAAGATCCCCCAGTAGAGGACAGTGAAACATCAGGAACTGAATCAGGACCCGGAGACAATGTACAGTTTAATATTTAACACTGATTGTTTTGGCACATTTAAATGTACTTTTTCGTCGTTATCTCGATGTAGCAGGATAAACTGTTCAGCCCTATCAACACGGGGCAACCTTTCTAAAGAGGGGTCAGTGTCGCTCTTGCTCCCTCTTGCTCTTTGGCACGAAGGCCACTTCCGGGTTCCGTTTACGTGCTTTCTCCGCTGGCACCGGTGAGTTTGCGGTGGCTGCCGTTTGTTGTATGCTTAGCATGACAAGTAGCATACATACTAAATGTGTATTGCTGGTTGTAGACCCTTGCAGGGATCCTGCAGCCCATGTCTGCTGCCGCTGCTGAACGAAGCTCTCCTGCTGTGTGTCTTAACTTAGCCTGATCGGTAGGTACGCTTTTTGCTTGTCTCAACCTTCCTGAATAATATGAATGTAGTATTATTATCGTAACATCACCTGCGCTGGAAGCCTAATACAGAAAGACGGCTGTTTTGCCTCAACGTCTGTGCTTCACCGCTACACTGCTGCCTGGCGGGTGTTGCTCTTGGCCTGCATCGTCTGTATTGCCTCTTTGTGTCACTGTGCATTACACTACATGACCACATTTTAAACATTGTTATAGTGGACTGTTCGATGAATTTCTGTTTATGATTAGTTATTGCATTGACCCTGTTGAGTTAAGCTTGTTTTGTTTATTTAGTTCAATATTAAGTAGATTGTTGGGTTAATTTCCGTTTCTTTAGTTTAGTTGTTTTCGACCCTGTTCTAAACTTGTTTTGTTTATTTCAGTCGATATTAGTTATATCTCTTAGTATTATTGATTTCTTATTGTCTTTATACTGATCTTATGTGTTGGTTTGTGTATTAATTAGTGTTGACTGTTTCCCCCAGTAATGTGTTTTGTTGGCCCCTCTTTAGTTGCTGAGAGCCAAAGGTGTGTTGGCTCCCCCTGGTGTTGGTGTTCCTTCGTGTGTGTGAGTGTTTAGTGATCACGGGTGCCCTCATTTACTTTGTGGGGATCCCTCTCACCCCTCGTCACCTCCATCCACTGGTAAGCCTCAGCATCCCTTAATTAAGATGTCCCCCTTTATTTCCAGTGTGTATGATGATCTTACTGTGTTTTTTAATGATATTTAATACTTGAAATGAAACATGTGATGAATTGGAACCACCTCTCCTGCCCCTCAGTATTACGAACCTGATGCCTTATTGGTACTTTGAATAATTATTTCCTTGGGTGCAATTCCCAAGGTGGCGTTGTCTGGCTTTTGGTTAAATGTAGATCTTAAATAGGAGTTCAAACAAACACTACCACGTGCCGCCACATTAACATTTTATGAGTTTAACCATTTCTACTCAGGTGTGTTTCTGCCAAATCAGAATATGAGCAAGAATACCTGGAATAAGACAAATGAATGCACGAGAGGATAAAGGGAGGCAGGAATGGATGGTGTAGTAGTGAGTTTCCATATAGAAGTGCTCTGTATTATGATCTGTAGACCTTATTGTTGGCTGCGCCTGACAACACATGAAGTCAAGTTACAGAACACTGTCCATATGTAGAAGATGCAGAAGAGGATCATACCTTTGACACTTGGAAAAGCCAGTTCAGTCATTGCTCCTGGGTCTGGTCGTCCGCTGACTAACCACCTGCCAATCTCACTTCTTTCTGTCTCTTTGTATTTTCTCCAAATGAATTTCCGTGCATCTTGTTTGGTCACTAATATATGCCTGTGTATGTTTGCTGTATACTTGAATGGGATATTTATGTAAAGTGTCAAAGCGTTTAGAAAAGCTAAATATAATGTGGATAAAAAAACATGTGGATGTACATTACCTGGCATAGAGAGAAGGAAGACAACAAATCCACTCGCTGTTAAACTCATAGCTGCTGCTCTCGTCTCCGTGTGGCTTCAGTGACAAAATAACAAAGAAGTTGATTGATGTCCACAAGAAAACCCTTCCACATTAAAAGAAAGGGAGCTCTCACGAACCTTAACGTCCCTCTGTGGGCTTGAAGGTAGAAAGGAGACAGAAAGCAGGGGGTTTAAAACACCACTTCCTTCCTCTTCACATTATTGCTTTACATGGTTTGTAGTTCTGCAGAAAGAGAGCAGCTTGTGGTAAACAGAGCACCTCTCCTCACTGACAAGAGAACACACATCCTAATACTAACTACTAATGCAAATTAACATCACTTGATATTATAATGAAACTGCCTGGACTCCATGACTTGAAGAATGCATGCAATAATAATATGTGCAAAAAAACTACAACATGCTGAAGGTTAGCTATCAGCATTTCTGTCTGTGAAGAGCAGAGGCCTGTACGACGAAGCTGGTTCAACCTAACCTGGATATGTTTGAGTTAGCCGGTTGGCCCAATCCAAAACATACGCGCTCTCACTAAACTGTACTACGACGCTGGATATCAAGTGGATCGCTCAAGCCAGCCGTGTCCTATCTAGTTAGGTGCGCGTTCACATGAAAGGGGTGGTATTTGGAGCATTCCACCAATCTCAAACATGGACAAGCGTACTGACAGCGCAGCGTCATACTTCCTGAATGAAAAGTGAACTTTAATATTAGTCAAATATGAAGACGTTAAACTTTAAACATCCATGACTTAAACACTTTATCCAGGATCAAAGCCACATAGCTGCACCTGCAAGGTGAATACAGCTGGTAAAAGAAAAAGCGTTTGATTGCGTTCATTAACAGGTTTATGATATCACTGCCCCGTCCAAGACACGATCTGACTTTAATTACATTTGACTCGAGTGTTTCGTCAACTTAATGTGTTGCTTAAAATAATACTTCTGCATACAGTATGTGACACTGTGAGTGTTGCACAGCCAGATACGGCTCAAGAAGCTGACTCAGATAAGGAAATATATGATACATTATGATGTGATATGATATGAATGATAATGGGACACATCGACGTCTGCACTCACAGTGCCGCGGACTGTACTTAATGTTACTTTGATCCGGTTACTTATGTCGTGGCAGATATTTAAGTAAGCTTTCTTAACGCTAATGTTATAATAGTCAGATTGCTCTGAAGATGGGAGGGGATATTCTATTAATGTTCACGTTCACACAGTCAGTGGATTTTTGCCGGCCGTCTTTCCTGCAACGGCAGTTTTTCTGTATTTCCTCTATCCTGTAATATGACTTGATCGCTTTAAACTCCGCACACGGAGCTCTGATTGGTCAGCAGGCGGTGCTTTCACTGAGTTGATCTCTTAGCCTGCAACCTAACCTCCTCCCGAGGAGGTTAGCCGCTCAGCATAAGTTACCATGGAGATCTAGCCTGCTAAGCGAAAATCCGGCTTCGTAGTACAGGCCTCAGGACTGTTGCTGTGCTGTGCTCACACACTTCACTCACTCACACACTTCACCTCACTCACACACTTCTCTCACTCACACACTTCACTCACTCACACACTTCACTCACTCACACACTTCACTCACTCACACACTTCACTCACTCACACACTTCACTCACTCACTCAACACTTCACTCACTCACACACTTCTCTCACTCACACACTTCACTTACTCACACACTTCACTCACTCACACACTTCACTCACACACTTTCTCTCACTCACACACTTCACTCACTCACACACTTCACTTCACTCACCACACTTCATCTACACTCACATGACACTTCATCTCACTCACACACTTCACTCACTCAACACACTTCATCTCACTCACACACACTTCCTCTCACTCACTACACTTCATCACTCCTTCACCACTTCACTCACCACTTCTACTCACTCACAACCACTTCACTCACCACACATTCTCTCACTCACACACTTCCCACACTCACTCACACACTTCACTCACACACTTCTCTCACTCACACACTTCACTCACTCACACACTTCCCTCACTCACACACTTCACTCACTCACACACTTCACTCACTCACACACTTCACTCACTCACACACTTCACACTGCTCCAACTCAACTAATCAACACCACTTCACTCACTCACACACTTCACTCACTCACACTCTTCTCACTCACACACGTCACTTACTCACACACTGCACTCACACACTTCTCTCACTCACACACTTCACTCACTCACACACTTCACTCACTCACAACACCACTTCACTCACTCACACTTCTCAGCTCACTCACACACTTCACTCACATCACAACACTTCACTCACACACTTCTCTCACTCACACACTTCACTCACTCACACACTTCACTCACACACTTCTCTCACTCACACACTTCACTCACTCACACACTTCACTCACTCACACACTTCACTCACTCACACTCTTCTCTCACTCACACACTTCACTCACACACTTCTCTCACTCACACACTTCACTCACTCACACACTTCACTCACTCACACACTTCACTTCACACACTTCTCTCACTCACACACACACACTTCTCTCACTCACACACTTCTCTCACTCACACACTTCTCTCACTCATACACTTCACTTACTCACACACTTCTCTCACTCATACACTTCACTCACTCACACACTTCACTCACTCACACACTTCACTCACACACACACTTCACTCATTCACACACTTCTCTCACTCACACACTTCACTCACTCACACACTTCTCTCACTCACACACTTCACTCACTCACACACTTCTCTCACTCACACACTTCACTCACTCACACACTTCACTTACTCACACACTTCACTAACTCACACACTTCACTCACTCACACACTTCACTCACTTCACTAACTCACACACTCACACACTTCACTCACTCACACACTTCTCTCACTCACACACTTCTCTCACTCACCACTCTTCACTCATCAACTCACACACTTCTCTCACTCACACACTTCACTCACTCACACACTTCACTCACTCACACACTTCACTCACTCACACTCTTCACTCACTCACACACGTCTCTCACTCACACACTTCACTCACTCACACACTTCACTCACTCACACACTTCTCTCACTCACACACTTCACTCACTCACACAACTTCACTCACTCACACACTTCCACTCACTCACACACTTCACTCACTCACACTCTTCACTCACTCACACACTTCTCTCACTCACACACTTCACTCACTCACACACTTCACTCACTCACACACTTCTCTCACTCACACACTTCTCTCACTCACACACTTCACTCACTCACACTCTTCACTCACTCACACACTTCTCTCACTCACACACTTCCTCACTCACACACTTCACTCCACTCACACACTTCTCTCTCACTCACACCTTCACTCACTCACACACTTCACTCACTCACACACTTCACTAACTCACACACGTCTCTCAACGCATAACACTTCACTGTACTCACACCACTTCTCTCACTCATACACTTCACTTACTCACACGGCACTACTCACACACTTCACTAACTCACACAGCTTACACTTCACTTACTCACACACTTCACTCACTCACACACTTCACTAACTCACACACACACACTTCTCTCACTCACACACTTCACTAACTCACACACTCACACACTTCACTCACTCACACACTTCACTAACTCACACACACACACTTCTCTCACTCACACACTTCACTAACTCACACACTCACACACTTCACTAACTCACACACACACACTTCACTCACTCACGCAATTATTCTATTTAGAAATGACAGATTAGTGACACTAATGCTATCATTAGCATTAGTGTGGACGAGAGTTATGGACATTTCAACCTTTATTGATGAACTCAAACCAGAACAGAACAGAACGAGAGAAAGGTAAACACATGAAGTACAGAGCAAAAGACTAGGGTCAGAATAACAGGTGTAACAACAAAGCAAAATAGATAAATGCATTGAGTTGTGATGGTTATGAACTTAAAGAGTAACAAAGAAATTAACTATTTTAATTGGTGATAATGGAACTTTTATATTTACATAAACAGATGTCAGAATAAGAATGTGTGAACATTAAGGCCGTACACACACCAAAGATAAATGTGCTTTACAGGCTCTTGGTAATGGTTTTCCATCAGTGAAATACGGCTCTTTACTGAAACCTAGTGGCAGCAGAATGAAACTGCAACTACATCAGCAACACATGTTCCTCTCTGATATCCCAATGTGCTTTTCAAAAACAACATGTATTTTGGAATGGATGCAAAATAACACAAACAAGTAGTTGTTGATATTTCAGTCTAGACAAGAAGAGGAACATTGTAAAGAAATATTATTTGAATAAAGTTGATAAATGTACAAAACAATGGAAATGGTTTGTTATCAGTAAATTATAGCTCTTTAGTAATATCTACATTTTCCAACAAGCCAGCAGTTAGGGATCAGATTTCTTGTTGCAACATCTCTACATTTTGGAATTTCTTTTGGCAAAAATCATGTTACAAAATAAATATATACAATTGATTACATTAAAGGTGGGGTAGGTAAGTTTGAGAAACCGGCTCGAGATACACTTTTTGTTATATTCCATGGAATGCTCTTAACATCCCGATAGCAATGAATATCTGAAGTGCTTTGACAAAAAATCCATAAAAAATGTCATCTGTGGAAGCTGTAGTACTGTAAAAAGCACGACCAATCATCTGAGCCGGCCCCGGCTAAACTAACTGGATGGCCTACCTGCCTGTCAGCCTTCCATCTGTGCACAAACTTATCTCGTGCCCTCATTGGTCATGTGCGCGTTTGTGTGTGTGTTGGAGGAGGGGCTCTGTAAGGAAGTGGCAGATTTCTTCCGGCTGTGGCTGCGTCTCAGGTCGGTTATTTTCATTTCCTCGCTCGTCGGTCCTCGGTATCACCGGAAGTTGATTTGTCTGCGCCATCTTGAGTAGCGTCCCATGGCGCTTATTTCTGCCGGAGGACCGAGGAGCGAGGAGCGATAACCGAGGAACCACCAGACCATCCTCCGGTGAAATCCTCAGCCACTCTCCCCGCCCCCTTACTGTGTATCGCTCACTGATTGGACGATGCAGCGCATGCACTGATCTGATGCTTCTTGACATGAGAGCAGTTTCCCAGCGGAGTGAAGAAAATACATGAAACTCACGAGAGTCACTCCTCAGTTTATACTGTGTTTTGTTTCAATTAATGCATCATTCAGTTACAAGTATGTGATATATCTGAACAACAAAGTGGTGAAAAATTATTTTATTCATTTATTGGAAACTTTTTCATGATCGCTTTTTTCGTTTATACATTTTAAGAATGGCGTTTATCTTTTTTGAGAATGAGTTCTTATTTTATTTTATTTATTTGGGTCTACAACAGATGATACAAATGTATATGTCAGTAAATGTGTACTAACAGAGCGCACTCGAGCTGGTTTCTCCTAAATTACCTACCCCACCTTTAAGTTTTGAAACACTTAATACAATCTTTACAGTTAAGCCATTCAGATTAATAAAAACTAGGCTGAGAACTCATCGCCTCATTCTTGGAAAGGTCCACCCTGAGAAATGTATTTAAAAAATCCATATTACCCTGTGTACATAGAAATGTGATTGTAAAAAACTGAAGTATCATCCTTCAAAAGCAACGCCTGCTGTGTTCAGTGGGATTTGTTGACCGTGCTGTACAATGCACATGAATACTCTTCAGAGTCCTGACCTCTGGTCCTGAGAGATAAATGAAGTATTTTTTAGTGGTAATAATAATGCAAAGGGAATTAAATGATATATGAATAATGTTCCTGTGTGAGGATCTGCTCACCTCGGGGCAGCACTGCTGAACTTGACGGCAGCGTACTCCGGGACTTCCTGTTGCTCCGTGTGTCTGAGGGGCTGAGCTGCTCTCATGTTGGAGTAAAGAGGGTCTGCCCGGTTGTTGGAGAAGTGAACGCTGGAATACTGAAGGTCCTCCTGCTGCTCCGGCTGATCAGGTACACACTGCAGGGAGGAAAACACTTTCAGTTACACATTTTTACATTAATAGATATTTCATTTACAGAGAAATGGACCCAGGACAGAAAAGGCCAAAGCAACAGCAGCTGTGGTAATGATGGAAAGGACAAAAGGTAGGAACACTTCTGGATGTATGATGTTTATAGAAGGATGTCAAAAGAGCAGCAAGTGGTCCTCTTCTGTCAGATACATTTTCTAGAAGCACTTAAAGACCATGAAATACTCCTCAGTATAAATTGAATGTAACATGTTTTATTTTGTACTAGATTGATGACATAAGTATCTATTCTCACCTCTTCCCCATTGTCCGCTCTCTCTTCAATCTCAGACAAATCCCTGGAAGCCTTCTTTCTTCTGGTTAGGAAAGTTTATTAATAAATAAAATGTTTTAGTTCTGACAAACTGACTTTCATTGATTTACGAAACAACAATTAAGAGAAACAGATCTGCTCACCTGATCCACAGGAAGACAGAGAGATAAATGACAGCCAGGAGAACAACAGAGATTGTTACAGCAGCTGGTAGTAGCTTCCATGATCCTGAGAAACAGTGATCTACAGAGAACAGATGGTTAATACAGCAGTGTTTACAAGTACCCCTAGGGGCACTTTGGAGTATAGCAGGGGGGGTGTGAGACTTTATTTTCAACCTTCCTATTCCTAGACTAATGATACTATCATTTGTTTTTAAAATAATGTAAAAAAAAAAGCACTTGTTCAAGTGCTGAAACAAATGGAAACACATTTATGAGATTGTTAGTTTTATGATGAGCGATTGAGTATACACAACTCTCACTCACACAGTACACAGGGAATGACTGCACCCCATATATAATCTGGACCCTCAGGATAATTATATCCTTATGTCATAGACAGAAAACAACCCCTATCCCGAACCGGAAAGGTACATTTGAACACGCACTCCTTTTTCAGCCTCCTACCAAGACAATGTGACTGAAAACAAACAAGCTGATAAGTGTGTGTGGTAGTAGATGAACGCATAAAACGTACCTGCCACAACAGTCAGATGTAAGGTGGAGTTGCTACGTCCTAACTTGTTCTGGGCTTCACAGAAATAACTCCCACTGTGTTCAGCTCTGAAGTCAGTGATGTTGAAGATCTGTCCTGAAGCTTTTGGAGGGTCTTCATTCTCCTTGTACCAGGTGTAGTTAGCTGCTGGGTTAGCATCACTGCTACAGGTCAGAGTCACTGAACTGCCCTCCTCTATCTCACCAGAGAGTGTTGACAAGGAAGGAATCCTCGGAGCATCTGGAGGAGATGTGTTAACAGTAAATATTAAGAATGTGTTGCTCACTAGATTAGCTCAAAGGGTATCTACATTATTGAACGCTGAATGAACTGTAGCTGCATTTAGGACTTTGAACATGGTTTGACAAAATGCTTGTTGGACGGATTTAATCTTTGTCCAAAAGGTGAATAGAATTTAAGTTGTATTATGTTAATGAATTAATATGTACTGTAAATAATTGTTCATGGGTATTTCTGAATCATTATTAGTCATAATAAAGTAATGATCTGTCATTGGTTAAATGCCGTTTTGTGTATCACTTAATCAAGTCACAACTATGAAGTGAGTCATGGAATTTAAGGATTTAGAGATAGCCTTGTAAAGTTAATAACAGTAAATATTAGTTAAATATAACAATATTTAACAGTCGTTTCTCAATGATGTCATCATTAGCAACTCTATAAAATGTGATTAGAAGTTACTGCCAGTTCACTTTTCGTTACACACTTGTTCCCTGGATCCCATGTAATGTAAAGCAAGCTGAGCTGAAGAAAGTAGTGATGATAAGTAACATCTTCTCTTGAAACAACTAGACAGATATAAGCTTGTTATCTTTTAATAAACTGTCTAACTCACATTTTACGTCAATAAAGGTGTTTGCAGATGGCCTCCTCCCCAGCTTGTTCTCAGCTCTACAGAAATACTCTCCAGAGTCAGAGGACTGGATGGAGCTGAAGACAAATTGTGTTCCTTCACTGAGAAGAGGAATGTTTGCTTTTCCATTCTTCTTGTACCAGGTGTATGTAGCTGCTGGGTTAGCATCACTGCTACAGGTCAGAGTCACTGAACTGCCCTCCTCTATCTCAGCAGAAGGACTCACTGACACAGAGGGAAGCTTTGGAGCATCTGGAGGAGAAGTGTTTAAAGTTATTAACATGGAAGGTTAGACATAACGGCAACTTGCAAATGTCCAGAGACAAAAAGCAGGAAACGTTTTTCACAAACACAATGCAAAACATTTTAAAGCTTTGGAGCATCTGGAGGAGATAACATGAACACATTTCACATTTAATTCCACGGTGGAAGATATTTTAATGAGTAATAGTTTAATAAAACACAGAGTGGGTGGTTAACTTGATTCCATCCTTTATCAGAAATCTAAACACTTTGAGGGATTTTAGTATATTTGACCTATTTTAAAATCAAACAGAAAACCTAGAGCCCTGGTTCAGTGTCTTTGCACACTGCCATGTCTGCTGGCGACCTCTGGTGGGTGAATAGATACATGAGTGCAATGATGATATATGTTATACTGTATGTTTATGTTATTATGTTAGTGGAAGACTTTGAGTAAACTCACACACTGAAGGAGAGGGGAAGTCCTCATATCCCTTCAAAGCACAGGAATAACTGTCTGCTGACTCATATCTGAAGTCTGCATAAGGAGATGTGTCTTCCTTCACTTCCTGTCTGTTCTTAAACCAGATGTAGGAAGTTTGACCAGGTGGACAACTGCTGAGACACTGAAGGAGAGTAGACGAGTGTGGCACCTCCACCTGGAGATCTGAATAAAGGTGGAATTGAAAAATAAAGAAAACATCAATCATGTTTATGTAAAGAAATTAAAATAAAATGTTAAACGTTTTAGGAATACATTTTCAGATACAGTACCTGTGATGAACAAAGTGACTCCAGAGGCCTGAACTACGAAGCTGGATTTTCACTTAGCCGGCTGACTTCAGGGAAATCTCGGGCTTTCCGGTCCTACGACGCTGATTCTCTTTTTAGCAGGCTAGATTTCCATGGTAACTTATGCTGAGCGGCTAACCTGCTCCGGAGCAGGTTAGGTGGCAGGCTAAGAGATCAACTCAGTGAATGCACCGCCTGCTGACCAATCAGAGCTCCGTGTGCGGAGTTTAAAGCGATCAATTCATATTACAGGATAGAGGAAATACAGAAAAACTGCCGTTGCAGGAAAGACGGCCGGCAAAAATCAACTGACTGTGTGAACGTGAAAATTAATAGAATATCCCCTCCTATCTTCAGAGCAATCTGACTATTATAATATTAGCGTTAAGAAAGCTTACTTAAATATCTGCCACGACATAAGTAACCGGATCAAAGTAACATTAAGTACAGTCCGCGGCACTGTGAGTGCAGACGTAGATGTGTCCCATTATCATTCATATCATATCACATCATAATGTATCATATATTTCCTTATTTGAGTCAGCTTCTTGAGCCGTATCTGGCCGTGCAACACTCACAGTGTCACATACTGTATGCAGAAGTATTATTTTAAGCAACACATTAAGTTGACGAAACACTCGAGTCAAATGTAATTAAAGTCAGATCGTGTCTTAGACGGGGCAGTGATATCATAAACCTGTTAATGTACGCATTCAAACACTTTCTCTTTTACCAGCTGTATTCACCTTGCAGGTGCAGCTATGTGGCTTTGATCCTGGATAAAGTGTTTAAGTCATGGATGTTTAAAGTTTAACGTCTTCATATTTGACTAATATTAAAGTTAACTTTTCATTCAGGAAGTATGACGCTGCGCTGTCAGTACGCTTGTCCATGTTTGAGATTGGTCGAATGCTCCAAATACCACCCCTTTCATGTGAACGCGCACCTAACTAGATAGGACACGGCTGGCTTGAGCGATCCACTTGATAACCAGCGTCGTAGTACAGTTTAGCGAGAGCGCGTATGTTTTGGATTGGGCCAACCGGCTAACTCAAACATATCCAGGTTAGGTTGAACCAGCTTCGTAGTACAGGCCTCTGGTTGACCAATATATTTATCTTTATTTGTTATGATCCTGAACTTGTACTCAGCTGAGTCGCTCTCTCTCAGGTTTCTGATTCTCAGAGTGCATCTGTTGTTTTCATAGAGATTCTCTACACGACCTGCATACTCTGAGACTGTGGTCACATCTACAAGTTCACCACCTTTCCATTTAGTAAACCAGAATGTTTTCTGTACTGTGTTAACAAGGCCACTTATTCTAGATGGGTATGTGTAGCTGCATCTTATCTCCACTGTTGATCCTTTCACTGCACAGATCTCAGTGGAAGAGTGAGTCACTCCCCAGCCATCCTGACCCTGAACCACTGAAACACAGAGCACATCAGAAACTAGAATCAAAGTTAATCTATAAATTGTTAAACAATACTGTCAACAAACAATTTGAAAATAAACATTTTACAAACTTTACTGGGATAGAGCAGAAAAACACATGAATTCTTTCTAAGGCACTTTTAAACTGGTATCAATGATACTTTCTTATTTCTTAATTAAACCAGGTAGAACAGAAGTCCACACAAAAAAGTTTATGCTCAGTTTTATAGTCAGGCCAAAGGAAGATTGGAAAATGCCTTCATATAAATGAACAGTGAATGATTAGCGATCATATTAATTAGAATAGTGTCTGATTCTCTGAACAGTTCCCTCTCTGTTCGCTCTGTGGTCAGGTTGCTGCTGAGGTAAGTGTGAACAATAACAATAAATGCAGAGCACTGAGGTGAGAGCAGCTTCTGTCTGATATACAGATAAGAAAAAGAAGAAGACTGCTTTAAACTCAGAGTGTGAATATAACACTGAGGTCAGAGAGGAGAGAAGGAACTAGAAGGGTTTGGTGCAGAGGTATGATCGATAAGAGTTGAGTCAATATGTTATGACTAAGAATAAGAATATCTCTCTAAATCACTTAAACTTAGTAAAAACAGAGCTGGAGATTCTTGAAGTCGTCTTAAGAAAAAAACAAAGCAAAATGTTTTCACAGAGAGAGGATGGAACAGTTATGCATACACTATATTCTCTTTTTAACACTGGTAAAAGTGATAAGCAAACTGATATTGTATGCAGATGATTGGAGCAAAGGACAGTGGCAACGCACGACAAGATCTTCAGAATATCCATCAAAAAAACTAGTAACGTCTTTGAGTTTCTACAATTCTACACAATTACATTTAAAATGTTTCTGCTAGGTTTGCCTTTTACACAAATCCATCCCACTTATTCCCACATGTGACCTGATTTTACAAGTCCCACATTTTCCCAGAATCCCCTCTGTTCATGTGATGAATGTAAGTGTAGATGTACAGTACCTGACACAGAGAGCAGGAAGACAACTAATCCACTCGCTGCTGCAGTTAGACTCATAGCTGCTCCTCTCATCTCTGTGAGACTATAAAACATGTCAGATTAAATAATGTTCACAGGAGGTATACAGAATCATTACATCAAGAAACTGTTTCTACTTACAGTGAAGGAGGAACCATGTGTTGAAAGATGCCTCTCCTCTGTCACCAATGAGCAGAAGACGGATATCAGGCTGTTAAGAGACTAGATTTACTTCCTCTTTAGACGATTAATATGCATGATGAGCCAAATGCCAGTAAACACCCACTACACAAAAAAGTAATGTTTTTTAACAAAGTATAAACTTTTCTTATACAAAATAAACTATGGTTTTAACTTGTTTTGCTGCCGATATACCACTGAAACAAGAAAAGAGCATTCAAATGAAGAAGAGAATAACAGTTGATCTCTATGAGCACTGAGGACGTCACACAGTCTGCAGGTGTAGTGAAGGAACAGGAATGCATTAACCTGTGAAACCACGAGGCAGTTTAACTGAACAGGATGAAGAGAACCAAATTAATTATAAGAGAGAATGGAAAATGCCATATATTTTCTCTTGGTTAGTTTCTTCTCTGCTCTCTCTGCGGTCAGGTTGCTTCTGTTTCAGAGAAATGCAGAACATTGAGACGTGAGAAACTCACATGCCTGTTAGTGTGAACCCAACATGAACACACACATCACACTCATAATCAAGTGGACTGGAAGGAATCAGACACACAATGGTCCGGTAATTATTGTTGGAGCTATTGATTGATTTAACATGTTGAAGTTTCCTTCATAATTCACTCGTTTATTCTTCTTTCTAGTAGCATCCCTCGTAGCAAGAGTATATTTATCCTATTTTAAAATCAAACAGAAAACCTAGAGCCCTGGTTCAGTGTCTTTGGACTCTGGTGGGTAAATAGATAAATGAGTGCATTGATGATATTTACATTTACTTTCATTTGATTTAATTTGTTTATTTATTTGTGTTTACATTAATTAAGATTTGGTGTATTTTGTTGTTTTTCCTTTGTTTATCTTTCTGCACCAAACGTGGCAGAACCCTAACCTTTTGTATTGTGCCGGACAGGTGCTGTGGGCCTGAGGCCGCAGACTCCCTGGTGGGAGCAGTGGTGTTCTTCACGTGTCCGTTTTGTGTGGTGTGCAGTGTCACGGGTGATTTAGTTTGGACCCCTTACTCCCCTTTATGTTAACTGCCGCTGTGGTAAGTCCCAGCCCTGTCCTTTCCCCCAAAGTGTGGATTTTATTGAAATGTATTGTGTCTGGTGTTTTTAGATAACAATCTGTGTAACTGTCACGTTTGAAGGGACAAAATCGTAACATCTTCACGTCTCCCAGCGTGGTAAATCGTCACATTTTCAGGTCTTGCTGTGATACCGGGTTGATTTTATAAATAAAGTAGCCTTTGATATTAACCCTTAAACTGTCTCTGCCTGTGTTGTACACAAACCTGATTGTCCTTGTGGAGGAAACTTCTGTGTAGTAATGCATGGAGTCACCGACTCAGGAAGGAAACACGGTGAGAGTTGGAGCTTTGATGTCAAACACTGATGGGTTTATTCAGAGTATTCGGCCGGAGGATTCACATCACAAATCAAAGAGTCAGAGGTTCTGACCACACGGTAGAGTTGCCACGTCAATTCTGCCGAACCTCTCTCTATGTTAGACCTTTTAACAGGTTCACAGAGAATCAACATCTCTGAAGGAGTAGACTAAACACTGAATCATCTGCGTCCAACGCTCATGGCCTCAAGGATTTCACATCCGAGAGCCCACAAACACCGATAAAGAAATGCTTCAGTGTTCTCACAACAATTACCCTGCGTGCCAGTCAAGTTGACCGGTCTCACACTGGTGACAACAACACATATGGCACCAAGG